TTGCCTCGTGTTGCGACCAATTTGAGTTGCAACCAGAGTCACGGAACGGATTAAATTCGTAACTCGAGGTTCCACTGTATTTAACAATCTCCACATCTCACATTACTATTTAAATTTTATAGTTTACCACCACTACATAATTTTGATACCACAACTTCTGGAATTCCTGACCACCATTACCACCAAAAGAATAATGATATTTTACCAAACACAAGACAGTCACTAGGTATTTCCCCCAAGAATATACTGTTGTATCCTCAGTGCCATACTGCACTGAGAGAATGTATGCAGACATATTGAAATAATTCAAGAGGAGGCCTCAGTCTGTAACATTCCAGTCAGCCTGTTAAGCTGGTATTCCTGGTCTTGTTCCATCTTTTCTCAAACTTCAACTCTGTTGGATATGCAGACACTCTGCAAACCAAGGGATTACCTAATTAGTATTTTAAAATAAAATTAGCATATGTAGTTTATAACAGAACCTCAATTCTCTCTCTTTCAATACTAAACACATCTTACAACCCCTTCCCCAAAATCAGATTTAAATTAATCTTAAAAAAATTCTGTAAAGATAAATGTCTTCCTGAATCATATACTTGATTGGACAAATATACCTAATATTTCTTTACATTTCTAGACTCTACTGCCCTTTTACATGCAGTCTATCTGCTAGAATCTTCTTTATTTAAAACTAGGTAAGAAAGCATAGCGGCTTTATGTGAGAGAACTAACAACATCACACATCAGCATTTTCATACAGGTGTCAACATTACAAGACAAAAGGCAGCTTTCAGCTATATGCACTTTTTAGCTAAAACTAAACTTCAAATATCCTCTCCCTTCACCTCATGCAACAGTCACAAAGGATTGTATAAAGTTTCACTGATTGAATTGCCATTACAATGAATTGGAACATTCAAATGCCCTATAACTTTGACAGAACTGAACATCTTAAGAACGTCAATTATTATGTAGATGTCCTGTATGCACAACCATATTAACAACTACCTCTAAAATATGGAAGTATAATTTATTTAATGTTGGAAAGAGGACAAATAACTATTAATGTATATTGTTCCCAGTGTTATAATCCAGGAACTACATAACATACAATAATGGAACATTCTCCTCACAAACTGTCTGACAAGAAGCATCCAAAATACTCAGTGCTATTATCAGCTGATTTCTTTTTTCTTCCATCATTCAGATAAGATAACGAAAATGATAGCTGGCTTCCTATCTGGGATTTTTGGAATGAATGAATGAATGAATGAATGAATGATCCTATTTCCCATCCCTTTCCCCCTAAGATTTAAAGGGCCTTTTGCATATATACAATAAGATCCAT